AAACACTTTGTTACTAAGCTGGTCATCATTATTATCTGTGCACTTCACTATGCAACGCAATAAATTGTTGCAATGCAACGCAAACTTGTTGAAAAGAAGATTTAAGAGAAATATTATGCAAAGATAGTTTGGCAAACAAACAGAAAGTCTATGGGCTGTGGAATACCCTTCACTGCTTTTTTTCTGACTATAATGTTTAAACTTCCCGCATATCAGAAGATGGAATAAATGACCTTTGGTCATTTTTACTTCTTCATGTCCCCGTAGACCTGTTATCTGACATTATGCCTCATGGGTGAAGGAAAGCTCTGTCTTGGTTTTGTCCTATTCCAAGAAGCATGATTCCAAACACTTCCTGACCATGATTCAGGGGTTGGCTCAGGCCGGGGACAGCTACCTACCAATAGGCAGTTTAGACGTAGCCTCCATTTTCTGGAGACTGGGAGAGTTTAATAGTGTGGACAGGGTTAGACATGCCAGTTGGCCTGAAGGCCGAAGAACAGGCTCAGCTACCATTTAATTTGTTTGTATTGATGTCACCCGAGAGTTTGTTTGACTTAGGGAGAAAGGTGTGCTTTCAAACAGACCTGAAGCCACACCTAGTTGTGTAGGCTGACACCATCCCTTGAAGTCAGAAGATCCATGGACATTAAAGCAGCAGCCCTTACACATTTCTTCTTGAGACTGTTTCTGGAATCACAATTTCCCTTCTGCTCAAACTTCCAGGCTTATGATTCCAGGTCTGAAAGCCATGGTTTGCTTACTTCTACAACTATACCTCTAACTAACCAGTCCAATACCTTTGTCTCAGATCAACACAGAAGGGAAACAGTGCCACTGCTGGAATCCTGGCTCTGCATCATGGCATCAAGGCCCATGCCTGAAGACATGTATAGTTGAATCTAATCAACATTAATTAGCAATAAATGGAGATTTACACTACCACAAATCATGCCTTCCATTAAAATCTTTACTAATAAAAATTTAACATGAGCCCTCCACTAGAAGAGAAAATGAAACGTCAATGTATATTCCAAGTTCTTGTCCAAGACACATGCCAAACAGCTTTGTCCATTTGTCTAAAATCAGTTTCAACCAGTCCCATCAGTATTTCAGCCTTGTTCTGCAATGATAGTGAAGATGCAACTGTAAGGGAGGGTGCTTCAAAATACCTGGCAAATTTTGATTATATGGCTGGAGCTGCTGCAACATAAGTCCTTTTCGCTAAACAAGCAACAAGAGAAGGGCCAGCCTAACTAATGAAATATTAGGAAATATTGGGAAATATTGACCTGTGAGTTTCTCAAGGCATGACCATATGCTAAAAATGGTTATCAAGGAAACATATGACCAGATGATGTCATCTTAGATCAGCATATGTGGGCTAGTTGATGAACACTGCAAAAAATTGATTTCTCCAAATCTGTCTTTTGAAAAAATGTTGGGTTCTAATACATAAATACACAAGTTCATAGGTGTTTATTAACTAAAATAACTCAAAATATGATTCAGGTGAGTACTGAGAGTTTGAAATGGATGAAGACACTGAGAGGACCCACAAGGTGTAGTAAGTTCTGATACATAAGTAGCAAGTTCTAGTCTGTGCACAACCAAGGAGAGTGAAGAGCTGGTTGAGGGAGCACAGGATCCAGTGATTCTCATTGGCTCCTAAAATATTTTAGATGGATCAGGATTAGCATCTAAAAGGTAAGAGTAAATTAATGGTTAAGTCAAAATTATTTCTCATTAATTCCACTTAATGCTCTGTCTACACTAACTTTGCTAAAGCTTTTTATTTAAAGGCAATGTATTTGAATAAATTACTTATATGTCTTGTAGACTTCTCTGTCTCCTTTTATAGACAACTGTTGGGGTTTTCTGCCAGTCATTTTAGCTGATCATGTTTCCCAATGCATTATGCAAAGCAGCACAAGTTCTGCTTCTGCTCACTGAACTGAGAGCTGTGCTTATTGCAAAATTCAATCAACTTAAAAGTCACTGGTGGAATATACGTATGAACTTACATTAAACTCAAAAGATCAAGTTAATTTTCTCCCTTCTCTTTGCTAACCTTTCTTATCAATTATTATGTATTTAACTGGGAGAGGTGCTGACCTATGGATAAAAACTGAAGGAAGAAGAGTAATGAGGATTTAACAATATTTAACATTGTGTCTCAGCATGATGAGAACTCTGAGAGCACACTGCTATTAAAGGGTGTTTGATTGAGGGAGGGTATTGTCTTTTCTGAAAGAAAAATATCTGAAGTTCCTTTTGGCCACCAGATAGCAGTACTTCACTTCGTATAGTTCTCAGCTCACAGCATTCCTTGCCTTGTGGAAAAATCCATTTATTGGATTCTGGACTCTTGCTCAGATATATCTTTTGCAGACTTCCTGATAGACTTCAGCTGTAAAAAAAAAAAAGATTTTGGAATTAGGAATGCAGGTGATTTATATGTTCAGGAGGAATCAAGAATATTGCAGCTTTCCTGAATGAGGGGGAGTTGGTTGTATAAATCTAATGATGTGTTAGGCATTATAATTTCCAATGACAAAAGTTTCAATGAAAATCTAGGGTTAAAATATTTTTAGCATTTCTCCTTTGCTGACAGCACATTTCCTTATTTACATTAGTATTTCAGTAATATTTCAGAAAGGCATTTTTTTGGCCTCCAAACATAAACTTTACAGAGTTTTACTGTTCCAGTCATTTAGATTTTCTGACAAATGTTTTTAAACCTCGGTATTTTTCTTTATTTTTGAATAGAGGAATAGATTTTTAGAAAAAAGAAAGATACCCTCATTTTAATTGAAATGTGTTAAAACACCAGAAGTGCAATACACCATATAATAATAATAATATAATAATAATAAAATACTAGAAATAAAATAATAATAATGATGATAATAATAATAGTAATAATAATAATCGTTGTATCATGCTGTATTGGTTCATGTCACCTTACAAGAACTGTGCTTCATCCTCTTTTTTTACAGTTACAGACCTCAGGCAATATTCACAGGTAGAGAGAATGGGAAAGGCCATCTGACTGTTATTCTCTCATTCTCATCTGTCCTAGTATTGACATTTAAGTGTCTCAGCTGCTGCTTCAACCTGGAACAGCCAGTTATGATCCCTACAGGATCATGCAACAGCTGTATCACTTCCTTTTCTCCCAAACAAGATGGGGGAGATAATAATGGAAACCATCTCTGTCAGCTTTACACTAGACTATTCTTTGCTTTAGCTGTTGTAGAGCCCTAACTGGATTCCCTTCATTTTTCATCTCCTTCAGGGAATCTGGTGCCACAATCATGGAAGCTTTATTGTTGTGATTCATGTGACTTCTCTCACAGGGAATTTCACTTTTCTGTGGTGTTAGGCTTATCTACTGAATGAAAAGGTGACCTTCCCCCCCCCACATTTGTGCTTCATTTAGCTATGACAACCAAAACTGACTGTTGGCAAGGGAAAGTAGTGATAGAAATGTTTTCAGCATTGTCACTGTCATTTTAAGTCCACCACAGTTCTCTTTTTTCTCTCCTTGTATCTCCATAATAATGAAAACCCATCTTCTGGCATCTAGCTTTCAGCAGACAACCAGTGAATATTCAGAGACATAAGACCATCAGTTTGATGGCTGTTCCCATAGTTACTCTATTGATAGACCATGTCTCTTATATTTAAGAACTGGACTATGACTGTGATCAGAACGAGGGAGGTGTTGCTTCAAAAGTGCTTCAGACTTAGCATAGCCCTCAAAAGCTCCTTTACTATTCTTGGTACAGAATAAGGATTGATATCTTGGGTGGTACAGCTTGCAAAATGCCTTTATTTCTGGAAAAATAAAAGAACTATAGTTTTGTTGGGCGCTCTGATGGAATTAATGCAAAACTTAGTTTGGAACGAAATATTCTTGTACAACACAAGTCCCAGCACCTGGTTCTACAGTGCACCTCTCCACATTTCCCATGCTTTTGGACTGAGTTCTAGCAACACCCTTGGAAGCTCTTCAAAAGCAGTCCAGTCCCTGAAGATGGCCAGTGGGGTATGTGGTGCTGGACTTGGGTATCTCCTCACACTTTGTTCTGAGATAAACACAAATCTATCCAGTTTTGAAACCTGTTTCACACAGATTTGTCTGAGCCAACAGAAAATCTTGCTTTTCTTTTAAATAGGAATAACTGCTTTGTGACAATAGAATCAGCACACTGGTGTCTCTCTTTTTTGTAGTTTATAAAGTGGACACAGATTATTCTTGTTCAGTTGTCCATACACTGAGACATCTGAAAGGTTGTGCTAGGGGCCTCACCAAATCAATTTTCAGTCAGCCAAGGGGGGAGGTACAACATAAGTACAGTATTTACTGTGTCAGAAGGTAGAACCTCACCTACACAGAGGCTACAGCTGGAAGAACTTTGTGTTCCACTTGTTGCACAGGTTTCTTTAAAGAATAATGGTAATAATAAAATATTTAGATCCAAAGAGTGCTTGAAATTGCAACCTGTGGTCTGAAGCCTGAGCACTAATGGTGAGGCAGCTCTGAACAAGATGGGATCTTCACTCCCCAGCTTTTCTTCCACTGCTCCCGCCATTTAGAAATACTTACAGCCGCTTGTACCTTTCCTTCTCTCACTCATGATTTATTTATTTATTTATTTTTAATGGTAAAAGCCTGGTGTTCTTATAAACATAAGCTCAAGCGCCACAGCCCTGTGCCAGTTCCTCCATACCAGAACGCACGACGCCGGCACTAGCGAGGGGCCAGCGCCCGTGAGAGCCCGAGGGGGCGAGCCGAGCTCCGGGGTCTGTGGGAGAGGGGCCGGCAGGAGCCGAGCGCGGCCCGGTCCCGCGGGACAGCCCGGGCAGGGGGAGCGGCAGCGACTTGCGGGCCCCGGCGGGCACGGAGGGCGGGAGCAGAGGTGTGGGGCGGAGGAGGGGGAAGGCGGCGGCGGGGCGTCACGGCACCCGCGCCGCTATAAAGGGGCCGGGCGCGGCGGAGCGGCGCATCCCTCTCGCCCGCAGCCACAGCGGCAGGAGCAGCACCAGCATCGCGGCGGGACAGCATCAGATGGGCATGGGGACGGCGCTGGCGGCGCGGTTCGGCCTGGGGCTCCTGCTCCTAGCCCTCCTCCTTCCCACGCAGGTGAGCCCCGGAGAGGCTCGGCGCTTTCCCTCCGTCGGCCCCAGGGCGAGACCCTCCCCGCCGCGGCGGCCGCCCCGGGACGGGCGGAGGGACGGGCTCCTCCCGAGAGGAGCTCCCGCCCGTGTGCGCGATGCATCCCGGAGCCCGCCGCGGCGCCCCGTGGGTGGCCGTGGGTGGCGGGCGGCTCCTCCGCCCCGGGGCGGCGGTGGCGGGCGGGAGGAACGAGCCCGGGCAGCCCCGGCTGCGAACGGGGCGGGGATGGGCGCGGACGGGCGAGCCCAGAGCCCCGGGATGGCGGTGGTGCTGCCATGGATTATCCCGGCCAAATCAAAAAAAGATGAAGTTGGAGTTCGCCGCCTTTTTTTTTCCCGTGGGATCCTCGAGGGAAAGCCGCGGAACGGTGCGAGCGGCAGCTGAGCGTTCATTCTCCCGCTGATTAGAGGGAGAACAATCCCTCCAAACCCGAGAGAGCCCCGAGAAGGCACGAGTTCTGCAGCGGGACCCGAGTCTTACCCTCTCTCCATCGACGCTGCGGGGCTTTAGGTCCCGTCCCGGGCTCGGTTCTCGGCAGGAGTGGGAGGTTTAGGGGCTGGAAGCAGAGGCGGCAGCCCCTGGCTGCTGCGCTGGCCGAGCCTTGCCCTTGGCGCAAAGGTAATGGATGCAGGAGCGATCCGCTGCTCTCTAAGCGGCCAAGCGGGGCTGCCGGGGTGTTGTATGGGTGAGTTGTTCCTAGAAACCACCTCTTCCAAAGGGTGAATAACACAGTATCAGAAAAAGAAAAATAAACACCAACGGCATTGCTGGATCGTGTTCCCTCCTCCTCTTCCCTTTGTTTGCAAGGAAGGGCATTATTCCTTCTCCTTTGTGCTCAGTGGAGAGCAGGATCAGATCCTTTGGGTTACCGGTATTTATCACATTCACGTTGAGAAAACCTCTGGGGTCTCAGCTATTGTGGCACTGGGGAACTTGGACATAAGCCCATTATCTTCCATCAAAAAAACAAAAATTGAGAAACTTTTTTTTTTTAAACCAAGTAAACTTTAAAAATGCATAACCACGAGTGGAATGATGGTGGAGTCTTTGTATGAAGCCTGAAAAAAAATCCAGGGCAGGTTGGGACTTGCCTTGTAGGTTAGTAACTCAGCAATTTACTATTGATCACTTTCAGACCGGTTTTAACAGAAACTTCAACACAGCGATTTTTATCCTGCAGTCCTAAATTGCTTCTAGCACAGTGCCGATTGCCAAAAACACTAACTACCAGAAGCTTTACACCATTCTTATGTTTTTCTTATGTGTTTTTAGTAGGAAATATCGAAAGAAAGTGCTTATGCAATTTCCTAATTGATTTACCATAGACTTCATTGCTTCAGTATTGATTGATATGTTTTTGTTTTCACCCTTCCTGCTTATCTATTTTCTCAGCAGCACTAGAAGCATGAGAAAATAAGGACACTTTTTGTGGATGGAATTACTTATTAAATTAACTAACCTCTTAAAAAAATGGTTTTACTTGAATTAACTCTAAGAGCTTACCGGAATGCTCTGGTAGAATACAAGTTTGCTGCCATGGAGTTGAAGCCTTGAAGCCAACCTTTCTGCATTATGCTCGTTTTTGGGGATGAGCTAATGTGATTCTTGCTTTTGTTTTTCATCCTTGTGTTTCACATGCTCTTTTTCACTGGAATAAAGATACTTTCAGTTATCTTTGATAGCTTTCCTGTGTAAATGTAGGAAATAACTTGATATTGAGGTTGCACAGAGTGCAAGTTTTTGTTCTGTCCCTATAATGCGGAATTATGGGAGGAAAAGGTTTTGTTGTGTGGTGGTTTTTTTGTTTGTTTTTTTTTGGGGGGGGGGTTGTTTGTTTGGTTTTGTTTTTTGGTTTTTTTGCTTTCTACTGCAATTTTTTTTCTTTGTATGTTCTAGCATGCCAATAGGTTGTGATTTAATCAGTATGGTTTCATTGTTCTGACTTCTGCAGTTCAGTGCTACCACAGCGAGATAAGAGGCTGAAGTATTAAATCCACTCGCATAAAGCCCCACCATTGCTTCAAAAGAAGCCGCAAAGCAGCCCCAGAAACAGTATCAATAGATTCTTGACCATTGTTTCCTCATATTTTTGTTTGTGGCTTAGTCTGCAAACGTAGACTACAATTCATGCAGTTGTTTGAAAGTCTTTCTTATCCTAAGATTTGCCTTTACAAAGCTCTACATTTGCACTTTTTTTTGTGTGTTTGAGCTTTTTTGTAACCTATATATCTTCTAATTTATGGGAGGATTTCCATAAAGTAATAGTTCTGTAAATACATTTAGAAAAATATTAGATTTATTTAAGAGATCCCACATGTGCAATTCAAAATATCTTTGTTCTTAGCTGCACAATGAGAGGCGTGAGCATTTGTATGTATCATTTGAGTGCTGTGACTGAGTGGGGCTATACAGTGTTCATTGCTACTAATATGTATTCTGGTTTTTCAAAAGAGACAATATAACCCTTTTTGTTACTTCCCCTCCTCTCCACATTCTAGATCTGTGGAAACAATGGAACAAGTCCAACACCTTCAAACAATTCTTCAGCAAGTTCCACTTCTCTGTCAGCTGTCACAAATTCAGTGAACAATACCACCACTCACGGACATGGAAATTCTCTTCACTCAACCACAAGTCTTTTTTTCATTCTCTCCGTTTCTCTTCTGTATTTTTGCTGTTAAGAGACTCTGGCATGGAAATGGCTACCACTCCCCACCCTGTTTCCTGACCCACCTGAGATGGCTAGATCTCCAACCCAGCATGAGAAGAAATCAATCCAAACTCTACATCAAACCAGCTTGGTTCCACTCCATACTCAAATTAGTACCAGTCTGACCTAGAGAAGCACTCAGTATTCTGACTTTCAAAACCGACCAGTGTGAAAAGACCAGCTTCAGCAAGGAGGTAAAATTAAGAGCTCTTTCACCAAATGAGTTGGAATCTGAAAAACAAGATGGAAGCAAAAAGAGACAGTACTGACAAACCCAATTTAAAGCTGAGAAGAAAAACTGTATCTTATAATAAGGATGGATAATAACACTCCATGAAGAAAAAATGCTAGAGAGTTAATCTACCATTTAGAATAAGGACTTCAAGAATTTTTATTTTTTGTTTAAGTTCAAAAACATCGACAGGCTCATACAACCCCTAGAAAACACAGAAAAGCTCAAATAATTCTGTTTCTTGCACAGCCTGCATGATTATAACTTATGGGTATTAGGATGTATGAAAAAGAAACATCAGTGAAAAGGATTTCTTCTAGAATTCATTTGTATGAAATGATTACAAGGCTAAAATAGAATAACAAACTTTTGTAAGAATCCTCTTATTTAACGCCTGATCCCTAACCAAATGGTTAGCCAGGCAGGGCTAGTTTTGAAATAGCTAAAACCCCACCAGTTTTCATAAGAGTGGAATGATTTATGGTGGGAATTTGAATTTGACATTTTATTTAAATTGTTTGTATATTAAACCAAATGTGCCAGAGAAAGGAGTTGTGGAAACATTAGAAAAAGTACCAGGAGCTTTTTGTAAGTGAAATTCAGAAAAGAACAAAAACCAAAAAAGTCAATGGATGTATGTCTCCTCTTTCCTTTATTTCTCCTCCCAAGTTCTACAAGTTGTATAAGATTTTTTTTGCTCCTGGAACTTTCCTTAATTATGAAGGATTTATGAAATCTTCTGAGTAATGTTATAGTGCTGCTTTTCTTTTTTTTTTTTTTTTTTTTTTTTTTTTTTTTTTTTTGGCACAAGGTGAATAACTTACTGTTTTCTGAAGAGTTTTAATTGTGATATTCTACTTTAAACCTGGGCTAATATTTGCGGTGGGGAGAAGGAATGGGGAGAGGAGAGCAAACCGCCAAAAACAAAAGAAATTAAATGAGCAGGTGTTTGGAATATGAAGACTGGAGTCTTAATTTAATCACTGAATTTAAAAGTTACCTTTGTAAATACTACTTTTTAAAAATTTTTTTCTGAATCAAAATTGCTACACTTGCACAGATTGTTTCTGTATCATCCAACACTTTAGAAAATAGTATCTGGTACTTGATCAAAGCAAGCTTTGTTGAGGAGGTTCAACTACCTTGATGATGATACTTTGTCAGAAAAAAATTAACTATGTTGATATGATCACATGTGAGTGTACATGATCATACCACTGCCTGTAGATATTTATCTCAGTATAAGATCATGTCAAACATGAGTGGCTCTCTAATTTTTTTTTTAATACACCTCTGTCTTTCAGTTATATTACCACCAATTCACAGTATCATATATTAGTAGCAAGCTAACACAAATTCATGTCAGTGAGCGTACATGGACATTTCCTTATGCTTATCATTTGTATCCAGTAAAATGTTAATGATTGTATTTTGTGTTTGTGTAATAATGCTTTGATTTATTAGCTACTGATTTTCATTGAAAAAAACCTGTAAATAAAACAGTGGACAGGCAATGCATTCTAGATGCACTTCCAGATACTTCTAGAAAAACTTGTACCTTGCCTGTGTTAAGTGAATGAACTGTTAAGCAAGATGGTATATGTGATTAAAAACCTCAAGGTCTAGAAATGCTGAAGTGTAATTAGTTTTATTTCTCCGGAAGGTTTTGTGCCGCTGGGAGTCTGGATTTCACTTTGAAACCAGGGAGTGAGATTTGATTAGCATCTCTAGTAACTGTAGTAAGTTTTCCATACTTATTGCAGCCTCTTCCCTTTCAAAGTGTGACTGTGTTTTCATGCTAGACAAACTGTGCTTAGACAGAGCTTTTCTTTAGTTCTTTTGATGGCAATGAGCAATTTTCCTTATGATGGCTAAAGCTGTTTTTCTCAGCCTCTGGTTATCAAGCAATGTGAATTAACTGCTTTTAGGTTTCTGACTCCCACAGAGTACACTAACACAGTAGGTATGTCCCAATAATACAAACTGAACCATGCTTGATAAAGGACAGAGGCTGGAAGAGGTAGGAATTCATGCAAAATTTTGCTTCAAAGCAAAAATTAACCAGATGAGCATTCAGTAACGAATAGTTGCAGTTCGTGACATTCCAAAACTGTGTCTGTGTTGTTTTTCAGGTATGTTCCTTTCTAATACCCCTTAAAAAGGCCCGAGGTTGTTCTGTGTGCTTATCTTCCCTCCCTACATGTGGAGAAGCCCATTTCCAAGTGCCTGAGCACTTAGGCATGCTGCACATGGGTCTGCATTTGCCAGTGGGAAAGAGCCCCCTGGAGAGGCCTCCCAAGGCTGCGGAGGGAATGTGGCGTGGCAGGGCTTTGCTTCTGCTCCTTTGCTTTTCCAGTAGGCTGAACAAACCCAAGGAGCAGGATAAGTTTATCAAAGCTCGCTGTTTAACTAAGTCTTGGAACGTGCAGGGAGTATCAAAGCACATTGTTCCTTTGTTTAGCTTTTCTCCAAATGCTCCAGGAGAGAGAAGGAAGATAAACCAACCAATCCGGCTGTGTACCTTTTTTAAAAAACATAAAACTAAAAATAAACTCTCTCCAAAGGCAGGCAGACAAGGAAAAAGGCTGCAACATTGGGTCTTAATTCTATGATATGCCAGTACATTAAAAGAAGCAAAGGAATGTGTTTGAAGTTTTAGTGTAATAGTCAGACAAAAGGAGATGCTTGGCTTGATTGGTGCCATTCTTTTTTCCATTTTTTTTTTTTTTAATTTGAGAAACAGAGCCAGAGTGATCTTTAATAGCATTTAAGCTATTTAAATTCTCTTGAGTTTTAGATTTTTGCACCAGACCAGATGAGTGATTTAGAAAAATGATCTGGTAACCTTTGTTCTGTTCCATTCCATCACAGGACAATGGAATCAGTGATGAAGAAATCCACCCAGAGAAAGAGGATGTGATGGATGTATTTAACCAGGGCAGGGGGGGAGGGAGGACAATGGGGCCTACGCACTTCACAGCTATTTAATTTTTTTAAATGGCACCTCCACTAACTACAGCCAGCTCTTACCTACCTGTGCCTCTCACTTTCACAGGCCTGCCCAGCTGAAGCGTGTCTGGAGAGTGTATACTGCAATGACTCTGAAACAATACTGCTCTGTTTGATGCATGGCACTGCTTTCATTGTAAACATATGCTACCCACGTCTGTCCTGAATAAAGTATAGTGTTATTATTTGAATGAAAATACCTAAACTGAGCACTTACAGTTTGTGTGCAGCTCACTATTCCTTCCTTCTCAACATCATACTCTGAATAGCCCTTAAATTTTTCCAAGCTGCAGTTTTCAGCTAGTTTAGAAATCCACAGGGATTTTGAATGAACAACTTCCATTCAGCAAGAATTTCTACAAGGTGAAGTATTTTGGGCCAGATCCAACACCACTGCTAGTGGCCTCCTTGTTTTCAGCAAGACACAGCCCTGTCCCCTGAGCCTTTCTCCACACGAGAACAGCATACAGGCAATGCTGTGTTGTACCGGGGTAGTCCCCCTTTGTCCACGTGGGGATGGGACATCGTTAATGTCTCAATAAATAACTCAGAGTTATTTTGACAAGCCATTCCCAACCCTTTGCAGATTCCATCAAATTAGGGTTTGCCTGTACAATGCAGACACTCTCGAGCTAGCTGGAGACAGCAGCCTGCACTCTAATGTTATTAGTACATTGTTAAATATGGAGTGATTTCTCCCCAGAGTGGTTCTTACGCAGCCTGTTGGCCTCTGGAAGGGCTCATGGGAACAGACACTTGCAGGGCTGGGCTCTTTGTCACGCATCTCTCCAAGTCAGCATTTCCCTGGACTCGGGTTACACCAGGCTCTACAGGGAGCTCACAATAACACCTTGTATCTGAAATTGAGGATGGATGTGAATGTGCTTGTATTAGAGGCAGTTTGGAGTGATTTGCATTTTGTGTGCACTCAGGCTTGTAGAGATTTGATTTCCCATATATGACTGAAATGATTTAGGTAGCAGACTTTATCATCCAGCATCTTTATTGTAATGGATACAATTGGGAACGTTTCTTGTTTTTGCATTAAAGATAACTTTGAAATAGGAGCTGTCAGCTCTGCCTTGTAGCAGCACAAAGCTCTTCATTCTAGAACACACATTATGTCTGATGCACTGTGCAGGTCTACTGAGCCCCTACAGATGAAGGGGCTGGTTATTTTAAATCCATCGGTTTATCTACAGCAGCTTGAAGAGCAGCACTAGGCTTTCTGCAGTACGTGCTTTGAGATGTGGTCTTTTCATCATTATGCAGTAGCCTCAGGAAAGATACTTGATCCTTACTTTGGTTATCAGCCTTCAGTTTTCCAAGTGAAACCCTCAGCATCCTGCTCATGAATGCATAATTGCTCTGGTTTAGACTTCATCAAAATGTCCAGAATGAATGACCTGGAGCTGAAGAAAAAACCTGATAGATTCTTTACTGCCCAATCAAAATCCTAAACTAACAGAATCTCATCTGTGAAGGGTCATTCAATTCTCTCTTGAATCCAGTAATACTCCCTGCAATGTATGTGCTACAAATACATGAATAAAACATTTTCAGGCTTTTCAGAAGTGAAACGAGACTCTTTCTTTTATGCTTTCAGCTTAGCAGGAGCTATGCTTTAACAACTGATGGGTGTACAATATAAAATTTGAGCACACAGCAGAATTAAATCGTGGTAGCTTGGTTTTGCTGCATAAACTGAATGATTGCATTCCACCAAAATCTCTCTTGAATGACCTAGCGTGAAAAGTATTCTTTATGTGGCACAAATTATTAAAGGAAGCAACGCCTCTGTAAAGCAATTGTTCTGTTTCCCGCTTTTCAACCACTCTCACTGAAAGCACAGCGTGGATTTTTTTTTCAGATCGCTTAGTGTGCATAACCTGGACTTAAAGTCTGTCTTCATTATGCTGAAATACGTAAACTTCACGTGACAAAACTGTGTTTTTGTTTTTTTTTTACTGAATTCTATAAAACACAGATGGTTTTTGAGGCTGAACCTTGAGTTCAGAGGAATATATACACCCAAATACAATAACAAATGCATATTGTGTGATTGCTTGGACTAGTAGGATTCAAAACTGAGTACATACTGCTCATTACAGCAATTTATACCATAATAGCAAGAATTAAAAAAACCTCATTAAAATGGGTAGAAAGCATATTGTGAGAACCTTCCTTGTTTTAGGAGTCAGGAAGAATTTCCTCTGAAAGCAGATTATATATTGGTAGCTGTTCAGTTACGAAGACAGTCTGAGGCATGTTAGTAGAATGAAAATGAACTTCACTGAATCATAGAACATGATATAGAATATAGATTTGATGGAGTCTTTGCTCAAACATGGCAGTTTCAGTGTTCGAATGCGTAAGTGTGAAAAAGTTTTTGAACAATGAGGAAGAAAAGTGCTTTGGCAGGGCTGTGCAAGTAATACAAAGACCATCATTATTCTGAGACACGACAATGACATTTGCTGTCACTTACCTGCTTGTCTACATTTAAAAAATATATTTTCTAAAATTTGCTGGAATTTTGTGTCTTTTTATGTTTCCAACATAAAATCTTCAACTTAATTTTTTAAGGCTGTTGTCACTACTTTCATTTTGTTGTCTTTCCTGTTTCAGGAAACTAACACGAAATTACATTCAACACAGCAATTTTGTCACATTGGAATTCCTCCATTCCAGAATTCTCAGGCTTCTGTAAGGTGTTCCCTCTTGCAAAGTGCCATCAGTAAAT